GCTATGGACCCGCCGATCGCCTATATGTGAAACACCCGGTAACGGGTGTGTGCATTTAGCGGGTCTTTTCTGCCCGTGCGTGCCCGCTAGGGGGCGCGCGCGAGCAGAAAAAAATTGCCGTCTGGAGACGGCAACCCGCAGATGCTGCAGTGCCGTCCGTCCGTTTTTTTACTACGGGCGGACGGCAAGAGGTTAACATGCTTCTTGCTGAAATGATAATGTAATGTATAAAATTATAAATTGTAATGTATCGCAGTTTCCAGTCCTTAAATGTTGCTTCATTTATTTTATTCTGTTTTTTTCCCTAAAGTAAAGTTAAAAATATTAAATGTAAAAATAATAATAAAAAAAATGTTTAAAGTCCCCCGCGAGCACGCGCTTTGTCACGTAAACACGTCGGGTGTGCCTACGTACGGAAACGATGATTGCGATACACATGCTGGGTATCGCCGCACACGCCAGTGACAGCAATATTTCTAGGGCCAATATTTACACACATCTCTAAACTGATGGCCTGTGGGGGCTTTTAAAGTATCGTCTATGGACTTTTTAGGGTACTGAATTCTGTTGCAGTTTCAGGGAGGCGCACAATTTTTAACCTGGGCATGTTGGGTATCTGTTTACTCGTTGTACTCATCTTTTATATATTACCAAAAATGGTTTCATATTGTGTTTTGGGGCACTAAATTTAACTTAAGTTGATATATTTAAAAAAATTGGGGGGTTTGCTAATTGTACTAATGTCATGTAACAAAAAAACTAGCAACTGCCACCATTTTATTCTATAGGGTCTTGGGTTTCAGAAAATATATTATGTTTGGGGTTTTCAAGTAATTTTCAGGCCTAAAATGTGGATTATAACATGTGTGAAAAAAAAGGCCTTTATTCGTAAGAGGTTAAGTGATTTTGGTTACTTATTATTTCCATTTTATTTACTACCAGAATGATCTGGATAAGTTCTCTAAAGGTATTAATCGTTTTACAAGAGAAGACCCAACTTTCAGAGTGCATTTTGATAACGAGAGCAAGGAGACCATTGTTTCTGGCATGGGAGAGCTGCATCTGGAGATCTATGGTCAGGTAATTTAACAATGAACTGCTTGTATAATGGAATGCTGCATTTGCGGAATACACTATAAGCCTTAGTGGTAATATATTTATGTTCTCCACTCTACAAAGGAAAATTGCATTGATCTCAGACATTCCTTAACAAGCCACTGTGCAAAATTCCTAGTTCAGTAAATGTTGATAAGATGTACCCTTAGTGAACGGGAGGAGACACCATATAGTATCTCAGTTACCTGAGGGTCACACTGATTGGTATGTGGAGTATAGCAGATGTTATTTGCTGGAAAATGTAGTAATGCAGGAAGGGGAAGTTGTTTTCCCTTTTGGCATCATCAGGTGAAGCTCGTGTCCTAGTCAAGTGGACCATGGACCACCGCTTTGCTGTGGGTGACATATTGGGGACCACTGCACTAAGTATTGAAGGGAGGGTCCGTTTATCTGTGCAAGGGAAAGGTGACTGTATCCTGTAAAGGGCATTCCACCAACTCCATATACTCTGCTTACTTGTGTTTCCTCGCAGTTCCTTGCTTCTCTAGTTGGTTATCCAGTGGAGCAGTGGCATCACTCCACGAGATATGTGACAGTAACTGAGCTTCTAGGCTTGGGCCCTATCCAGCCGCTGCAAAGGAGGGAGAAGCTGTAAGGAAGTGCAGGTATGAGGAGTATATGGGTTTCCGGGAGGCCCTTTCCAGTGGCACTGTTGCCTTGCCCTGCTTGAGCAAGGTAAACACATTTCTCTAAACATTGGCTGCTCCCAGCTTATTCTGCCACCTACAGGTAGATTGGGCAAAGAAGACAGACAAAACGTAAGCTGACCTCCAGTATATCCCCACCTCTTTCCAGCATGCTTCAGTTTTTGTGCTAGTGTCCTAGGAGGATGGATGACTTCTCTTCGGCTTCACTGAAGAAAGCCTAATTTAGCCCTCTGTCGCTAGCCTGTTTTCTCATTGTGATAACTTTCCTTTTGCTCTTTGAACTTGTGTTTATAGAGCAGCTATGCAAGATGGTGCATCCTCGTAGGCCATATCTGGACACAGCTGGAATGGAAAAATGTGGGGTTTGCCTGGATTGTGTCCTTTTGGGCACTGGTATCTGCTGTTTGGTGCTTCCAGACCTTAGTGGTTGGTTAGCCAGAGTGTCTTCTGTGTCGAGAATCGAGGCACAGCCTCATGTGTGACTGTCTCCGAAGCTTGCTTAGTGAGTAAGGCCGGTTAGCATGAAGTACCACAAGCCACTTCATTATGTGCAATGTAGGGTGCCCTCCCCCAAAGGCCCACTCCCCCAGTGTGTTGGAGCTTTTCCCATTCCCAAGGAAGTTTGGAGATTGCTAGTCTATGCCCATCATAGATGCTCCGGTGGTTCACCTTAACAGGCGCACTGCCAAGCAGGTGGATAGTGTGCTCACATTCCAGGATTTCACAGTTCCCTCCTTAAATCCTAGTTCTTGAGGGTATCCTGCCAGATCAATAGATATAAAAGGGGAAGTCTATAAATTGAAATATATCACAATCTAGTACCCGGTGGTGTGTCTTCAATAATAGATCTGTCAGATCCCTTACTTACCTCTGTCCCTAATCAGGTGAATGCTCTTTGCACTGTAGCTAAAATTCACAACCTTGTTCCTTGGCTGAGGATTCTTCTCCAGCTTTGGACAGAGTGGAGGATTTTTGGAATCATGTTTTTAATTCAAGGTTAGAAAGACTTGCAGAGTTTGTCATTCCAGGGCCACCCATGGATTTTTGTTGGATGGCTGCTGTTTCTTTGCCCAGTGAGTGCTCTCATTGCAGCAGCCAAAAGTGTGATGTCTATCATTCTATCTAACCTTGCACTAGTGTCCCTTGGTCACTCTATCTTTCCTAAGCCAGACTGAATTCACGGTCATTCGTTATCGGATTTAGATGCCACACAAAAACAGGACCCCTCCAAGCTGTAATGGCTCACTATGATTTGGGTTGTCAGATAAAGCACCCTTGATTTGGCCTCTTTTCCAGATCTGTAGGGTGAGGGCTGGGGTTAAGGCTGGGGCATATCTTAGCTAGACCATATGGTCTTCTCCATGGAATCGTTACATTTCTTCAGGGACCTGTTTCTGGGTGCTGTCCCTTTGGTCTGTCTTGGTTACCACACTTTGAGTTGGTCTAGTCATCCTTTTTCAGGTTACATTTTGTTCCAATCATTTTTGTGGATTATTGGTGGACCCTCTCTGCTCTTGCTAGTTTGGGCTTGCGTTACCTCAGGAAGTTTCCTTCTTCTGATATTGTTTCCTTTTTCTAATCTGGATTGCCAGGTTGTTCCCTCTGTGGCCTTCTCATGGTTAGTGGTAGATTTCTTGAAGTCCATTGAGGTACACCGGTCTGGCCTCTGCGTTAGCTTGCTGGTCATTGTACTTGTTCCTCACAATCCTAAAGCAATGCCGGGTAGAAGAGGTGCATACTGCTGCATACAGGAGTATTGGAATACTCCTGTATGCAGCAGTATAACCCAATGGATTCAGAATTCCTGTGTCCCTCAATGCATTCCAAGATAAAGATTTTTACAAAAGTGTTACTATGTTTGTCTAGCTTGTCCATTGAATACATATACTGCAGATTGTTACCTGAAAATATCAGAGCTAAAGAGAAATGATTTAGATGGAACTTTGTAGTAATGTAATCAATGAGGTTATCTAGTTGAATTATTTTTATTGAAGTTATTCATTCTTTTATCCTTTTCCTTTTTATTCCTTTCACAATTTTCTGCTTTTCCACAGAGGATGGAGAGAGAATACGGCTGTCCTTGCACTATGGGCAAACCGAAAGTTGCATTTAGGGAGACTGTCAACCAAAAAGTGCCGTAAGTATAAAATCATTGGGTGTCACTTCTGTTCGTCGGAGTGTCCTTTTTCAGTATTCTTCTCAATGGCTTTTCGGGAGCCTTTGCTGGCTTATTATTTTTAACCCTCCTGATGGGTTCCATGTGATTTCATTTCTCCATGGAATCATTTCCTGTAATTAAGAGGTTTGTCAGTACATTACATTCTACTGGATGTGATATGCATCTGTAACAGCAGAACATCAGGATTCTCTTTTATAACAGTTATTTTTTTAATCTGACATGTTTTGTAGCTGGGCCATACTCTTATTTTGCCAGATATGTTATGTGGCTAAATATAAAGACAAAACCCAATTTCTAAATTGCATAATGGCTTTATTTACCTGGCATAAGCCAACAGATGTGGTCATGTAACCATATCTATTATCTGAGCCATTTCCTACCTAAGCAAATATGAATTGGACACAGGAGTCATCTTTGAACCATACTTAATGTTAATGAGTCTAGTTGGCCCAAATATGGGAATTGACTTAAATTTCAGGCCAATCTGAGTTTTATGTAAACTATTCCTATCGGGAATATTGGAGTGGAAAAATACATACGTTTTTGGTTTATTCTTTCTGGGGATCTGACACTATTGGGGACACTATGCATATCTGGTGGATGTGCCCTATGCTGCGTCCATTTTTAGGCTAAAATATTCAATGACATTATCTTTTACGTATTCGTATCCCTAAGGACCCATGGTTTCCTCTCTTTCACCTCTAACACCCCTCTAATCAAATGACAACATAAACTTGGTACCTAATATATTCTTTAACTTGACAAATGATAGCGCGCTCTTGTAGAAACCAGCTCACCCCGTTTGAGTAAGTGAGACAGAGAGTTGATATATGTTCTATTAAGGAAAAACCGGCTAGTACACCTGCTGACTTGCATAATACAGATCTCAAAGTGTGGAATCTGTGGATTCAGTTTGCGCATCCTTTGTTCGCAACAGCTAGCTTAACTTTTCTGTAACTATATAGCCTGCTGGGTGAGCGCTGCACTACGCTTTTTCTCTTTTTTCTGTTGATCTTTACTGTATTTCTGTATGTCCTGTTTTTGTATTGTTCTTAACCCGTACCTTTTTTGTTACTTGGTTAAACTCAAACATCATTGGAAAGAAAAAAAATTTGCTGAAATCTCACTCAATTCTTGACATGTGAAGGCTGAGCTGGGCTCTACCCTTCCCACCTCTTAAACTTCCCTATTGCTCCTTAAATGTAAAGGGAAGCCTCACTGACCAATAGGGCGGCCCAGGAGGGAATAGGGTCAAAATCTACAGATTTTGACCCCCTGAGGAAAGTCAAGAATTGCATATCATTTCAGCTGCCTATATCTTTGATCTACTGGTCATTCTGGTGTATTTTGTAGGCAGCCATTGCTTATGTATTTTTATAATATAATCATTTTAAATTGCTTAGGTTTCCTTTAAATTGAACCTGACCTGGCCTAAACGCTATTAATGTGTAGCCACCTTGTGGGGCCTGCTAGTACTTGTGTTAGTCTTCAAATGTATCTGTGTATAGCGTTTTGAATCTCTGGCTGTAGACGGGGCTTGACTTTTGCCCAGGTTGAGATTATTACACCAAGTCCTGCCTCTTGTCTATCATCGTTGAAATACCAGAGCTTCTATTACCTACCAGCTCTAGAATTTGACAGGTGAATAGAGCTGCAGCTAACGATTATTTTCAAAATCGATTAGTTAGCCGATTATTAAGTTCGATTAATCGGTTAATCGGATAAACAATAAAACAAATTTAAAAAGATGGCTCCAGTGATGGACTACTAGTTTGTATTGAGATTGCACTCCTTCACAGGAGCAAGCTTGGAGCGGTGGAAGTAAAAAAGAAAAAAAATAGTGTGGTGTGCAATATAGTGAAAAGGAAAGTGTAAAATTATAAAGCAATGAATGCAGAATGGCACCAGCTATAGAGGACTACAAATCCCAGCAATAGTACATTATATAGCACAATGCAGAATACCACCAGCTATAGAGGACTACAACAAATCCCAGCAATAGTACCTTATAGCTGGCGGTATTCTGCATTGCGCTGTATAATGTACTGTTGCTGGGTTTTGTAGTTCTCTTTAGCTGGTGGTATTCCGCATTGCGCTGTATAATGTATTATTGCTGGGATTTGTAGTCCTCTATACAGCGCAGTGCAGAATATCACCAGCTATATAGGAATACAACGAATCCCAGCAATACATTATACATACAGTGTATAATATATTGCTGGGATTTGCAGTCCTATAGCTGATGGTACATTGTGCTGTATATTATACCATCAGCTATAGAGGAATACAAATCCCAGCAATACATTATAGAGCACCATGTGTGGGAAAGTGCAGGCTTACCTGAGCAGTCTTCCAGCAACTTGCTTCTGAGATCGGACCTGTCTATCAGCAGCTGTCATCCCCCCACACCTGCTCCTCCTTACTACATCTCCCCGCGTCCCTGTGCCAATCGTGGATGTGGGCGGGCGGTGAGTGTGAGGCGGGGAGGAGGTGCGGCGTGAAGAGCGTGGATGCGGGCGGGCGGGTCTGGCAGCCACGAGTGTGAGGTGGGGAGGAGGTGCAGCGCGCAGCGTGTGTGGAGCTGTGTACAGGGCCAACTGATCGGAAGCCGATTAATCGATTATTGAAAAAGTTGACAACTTTTTCAATAATCGATTATAATCGATTATGTCGATTAGTTGTTGCAGCCCTACAGGTGAATGACATGACCGGGTCTTAGTGCCAGGAGCTCTTGATACCTCTTGTAGAAGTTGTAACCTTGGAAATGTTTTGGACAAGGTCGGGTTCACTTTAAAGCCGAAATGTATAGAAAAGTAATTGGGTCTAACTTTCTCAAATGTAGAAAAAAAAAAACTCCAAGTCTGTGCTTACCTGGGAAACCATTTCATGGATCAGTAAATCGTAATGGAGTTCCAGTGCAGTATTGTCTTTCATCTGCATAAAACAAAGTTGATGAACAATTTTGCTTAATTTATGCTTTTATAGTACAGGCATAAAATACATTTCAGATCCAAATATTTAAGAGGTGCTGGGATCTAAATGCTCATTCTGAAGTCAAGATTTACCAAGGCTTTCCAAGCAAGCAGGCTCTGGTAAGGTGGCTCCAACAGAATTTTGGAGTGTAAACATATATTGAATGGGCGCCAGACTAAACGGGTAAAAAAGTCCAAGGAGTCTTTAATTATTGAATGGCAAAGGAAGCGAAGCCAACCCATTTGAAGGCAACATGACTCGTTTCATCTGGGTTTAAACAAGAATGTGGTGACTTAAAGGAGAACTATGAGGTGAGTGAAAATCATTCATCCTCATAGTTCGAGCTGACATGTGACAATGAAACTGCTGTCACACATCGGCTCAATAGATCGGGAAGTGAGTGAACACATACCGTTGCTCACTTCTCGATCATCTCCCTGTCAGTCACCGCTCCTCTCAAGGATTCCCCCCCTCCACGATCCTCCAGCACTGGAGGAACGGGGAGGGGGCGGGCACAGCTGGCTTAACAGTAGATAGATAGAGCCAGCTGTCATTCACACAGCCGGGTGGATCTCGACATCATTGCGGCGGTCTCAGTATACTGTGAGCTGTAGCTCGCGGTTATATTGAGCTTTGGGTCAGGTTGGTATATGTCCTCCCGTTACCCTTAAGAGAACTATGGGGAAAAACACTTACCCCATAGTTCTCTTTTAAATCTCTCAAAGGTCTAAACCAAAGGGATCTCTTAACTGGTGTAGTCTGTGAATTTGTGGACTGTAATTAGATGACATGATCAGCAACAGTTGGACAGGAAGGGATCAACAACTGTTGCTGATCACTTCATGTAATTGCAGTCCATTCTTGTTACAAGTTCTGATGAAAGTCAAATGTTGTTCCCCCCACAAATTGCGTTGGCTGTTTTTTCCTTTTGCGATTAATTAAAGACTCTTTGGACTTTTTTTGGCCGTTTTGATCTTGCTCTCAATCAATATATGTTTACACTCTAGGCATAAAATTAAGGGGGCACCCGAAAAGGTTTGTAACCCCTTAAAGCTTAAATCCAGGATAAAATCTTTTAAAAATCCAAACCTCCCAACTACCCACCCCTTGCCTTTTTGTCTTGGTCCGGTGATCCTCTAGCGCAGGGGATTGGAACCTCTGGCCCTCCAGCTGTGGTGAAATGGTGAAACTACAAATCCCATGATGCATCTGTCTCTGGGAGTCAAGCCTGTGGCTGTGAGAATGTTGCAATGCCTCATGGGATTTGTAGTTTCACCATTTCACCACAGCTGGAGGGCCGAAGACTCCCCACCCCTATTCTAGCGCCTGGTCCTTCTCTCTGTTTACTTCCTGCTGGGGTGCTTCTTCCAGGTATCCACAAAACTGCCTGTGTGACGTGGACAGTTCCCACTGGTGGTCCACCGGAGTGGTCCTCTTAGAATCCACAAGACTTTAGCTTGAGGGGGGTTAAGGGGACCAGCTGGGGAGGATTACTATGTGGCGCTGGGGGAAACTGTGTTAGCGAGGGACCTGGATGGGGATGAAGGTGAGTATAATTCGCTTCACCAGGAAAAAAAACTAAACGCCTAGTAGGGTAGGTTACGAACTGTGGGCGGTGGCTGTAAGGAGGGACAGTAGGGAGATAGTTGTTGAGTTGGGCATTAAATACGCATTCTGTGCTGAATGTTTGTGAAAAAGCATTTCTAGGAACATTGGAGAGCTGTTTTGACTAAAATGCCTAATGGCTTACACAACAATTTCCTTCTTTCCAAGCACCTTTCTCCCTTGATATACAATAAATGTAGTACATACCACCTGCGTAACTTTCTTAATGACCGTCATCGCAAATAATGTCTCTTCTGTTGCGTTTTTGGACTTGATAAAACCAGCCGCAGCTATCCCGAGATTCCATACAGGCTCCATGTCTGGTGCTACATTGCCAAATTTATCTAGAAGTCAAACATTCACACCAACTTGTTTGGATTAGTTTCATTATCACACAAGTATGATGACATAAAGCAGAAATTAATACAAAAAAACACATTGAAATAATCAGAAGCTTTAGCGATAAGGCAGCTGATGTTCTAGCCACATGTTTATGTGAAAGTCCGGTTTGTCACTGCCCTCTTCAGCCTCCAAGCTCCTCCAATTGATCTCTCATTTTATGGAAGGACTCTTTGACCAATAGGGAGATAGAAGTCTGACAGGGAGGGACTGGACCAAGTGTCACTTTAACATGAAAAACTATTGAAAACTGCATTTTATTTTCATCTGCTCAGATCACTGATCTGCTGATCGTTTTACCTGGAGACAACTAGCTGTGTATTTTTCATGCAGTGCTTGGATCATTTACGTAGGTTTACATGAAAGAAATCCTATACCTGGAATGTCTTCAGCTACTAGTGGTTCCTTATTGTTCATCATTCTGGAGTAAAACGCTTGGTCTTTAGTTGCTGTGGAATTCTGTGGCTGGGTTTGTAAGGTAAATTTGACATCAGGAGGGCAGTTCTTGTCACTGTAATACAAAACCTCTGCAGTGCACATGATTTCAGGTTGCTGTGGAGATATGAAAATAATGATCTTCATAGTTAAACTCCAGGCAGAGACAATATGCACGTTGATGTGGCTCTGTAATCATTAGTGGGTCATTTAAATGTGGCGTGGTTCTTTTTTTTTTTTTTAATGCAAGCAGTGTAAGTACCTAAATTTGATTCTGCATCAGCCTCTTGCAGACTTGTGTACAACAGGGCTCATAGGGAGTGGAAGAAGCAACACAAGGAGCCAATCTGCTTTGCTGCAGTGCAAGGCCCATGCCAATAGGAGGAGGGGACAGATGGCAGAAAAGCTAATCAGTCTGCTTTTTCTCCTTTCCCTATCCAGTCACAGTGTGGGGTTGCGGAGGGGACCTGTAAGTGAAGAGTAGCATGAGGGAAAGATCAAATCCCCTTCCCTGTTGGATAGGTGTGTTCTGTGTATCTAAGGATTGGATATACAGGAATACAAATCCTTCAGTGGGTAAAGCAGTTCTTATGTATTTCATGCTTGGGTACTTGGCTGTTTGCCTGGAGTTCAGCTTTATCATCCATACACATTCTTGAAAAATACATTGCAGTGATTTGGCTAGCCTTGCCCATATGTAGGTGTGTGCTATGTATATTTTAAAGCACATGGGCTGGATTGAAGTAATAAGTGGTTGTATATTCAGGATATTTATTAAAACGTGTGGGACAGTGCCCATGGGCATCAGGGTACGGGGCCTCACCAAGCCTGAACATTTACATAAATTAAAGTCACTTATCAGTGTGTCTTTTTTTTTTTGGCCACCTTTTGGATCTTCAGCAAATTAACTGGACAGGAATAGATTTGTTATGAGAAGTCGCATTGAAACTAGTTCAAGAAATATTAAACCATCTCTCTTTTTATTGGTCTACTTTTAAAAAGTAGCTGGAAATATAAACCAGGCAGCACGCTTCCTCCAATGGTGAACGCTGATGTTTGAATTTGCAAAGATAATTGTGTCAAAGAGATGAACTTGCACAAATGGGTGCCATCATTCATGTGTGCATTCGACAGCCTTATGTCTGAATACAGCCATGGTTAGCTGTTAAGCCAGCTATAGACACACGTGTGCTTATTCAGTAATTCAATACAAAGAAAAAGGACAACAAGTCAAGTCCAGAAGCCCATAGGAATCATTTGATTGCAGTTTACTGGCATCATGGGTGATTTGTTTTTTGAGGGATGCTACACTTTGTACACTCCTCTTTACCTTATTCTTTAAGCCTGAATATAGTGGTTGGTCTAGAAAACACACACATGTCCTAAGAACATGTATACAATGGGACCTGTGTGGTGCTTGTAGGCCTCAAGTTTAGCAATGGGCATATTTGAGGCCTACAAGCACCACAGAGTGAGTCCAGTCACTCTGAGGCCAAGAGATGTGTATGGGGTTTTTAAGAACTTGGAGTAGATGAGGAATTCTCTTGACATTTAATATGGAGATAAAGTACACATTATTATTTATTGGTTATTCAGTGTTTATGGATATTGTCTTTATTTGTGCATTTTAGCCTAGGTTCACACTAGCGCTGCTGCAAAATGAGGACTGGGTCACTAAATGCACAATACAGTGTGTTTAGCTTATGCTATCATACATCGCACCTAGCGTGTGGTACTGTGCACTAGGTGCAGTGCCATTGCATGCACTAATTTTCTTCACCGCAACGCATGGGTTTTGCAGTAGCATGCAGTGTGCTTTAATATGAAGCTTCCAGATGGTTTGTTGGGATGCCATTCAAATGAACAGCAATGCAATGCACCTACAACACAGTAGTGCGTGCAAGGTGCTCAGTATGATGGTATGCACTAAATACATGGTATCATGAGTTTAGAGCAACGCTTACGTGTGACATAGCACTGATGCGTTTTTTCAGTGCTTTTTAGTAGCACATTTGTACACTTTTTTTTTTAAATCTGTTTTCATGCATTTTCTTATGCTTAATGACTAGCAATATCTGCTGTGACATCATTAGATGTTGTCTTCTTGGAGGCTTTAAGCACAAAAATGCATGTACATGCATTTTTCATGTGTTCACATTGGAGTCTATAAGGCCAAATTTGCACTTCATCCTATTGCATTAATGTGAATCGGCACTATCAAGAATGTGATATCCATTGTGGTGCATTGCAGTGTGACGGCAGAAGCAGGACAAATCGCACTAGCCTAAATGGTCAAATTAGACTTAATAACAGTGTATTCCTTATGCTTCTATATTTTTATATAAAATGGCAAGGGTGACTTCAGAGTGGTGTCCAGTCCACAAGAACTATCATAACTGAAATGTGCACTAACCTCGTTCAAAAAGTCTTTTATGGGAAATGTCAGGTGATACTTATTCCCCACTCCAGCAATGCTCTGTAAAAGAAATCAAACCCCCCGCTTATCACATACACATACTATAACATTTTCCTTTTTATTTGCACTCTACATTTGTATTCCATTGCAAACTCCACTTTTGTTAAAAGTAGCATAAGGACCCGTTCACACCATCCAATCCTTCTCTCCGTTTTAGTGGACAGATTAGTGTCTTGTGGCAGCTCCAGAATATATTTTTACTTTATTAGTAGTGTACAAGATGTACACTCCATTCTGGTCCCTGCACAGCAGCAAAGTGCACTGTGCTGCCGTGTGGTGACCTGCAATGGCATCTAGTGCCCTGTGGAGAAATGCACGGGTCACATAGAAAAATGTGCAGAATAACACAGGTTACCGCTATATTGTGAAAGGGCAGTAACATAGCATATACAATTGCTACACACGCCATTTTGTATTTTGAAGAAGTTGGGGACATTTGGGAAAAATTCCTAACCCTCGCAGTGGGGCTACCCTCACACTGCAAGGGTTAAGTGCTCATTTTTGTCTAGGTTAAAAAATAAAAACGTTTTGGTCACCTGATCCTCAGAGCCAGCTTCTCTTAGACCGGTCCCTTCTGCCTACCTCCCCTCCGCTGCAGCGGTAAAAGGTCTCTGAGTCATCATGGCCTATGCACAGTCTATAGGACATGAGGATGCCAAGGACCATACTATCACTGCAGCGGAGGGAGAGACAGGCTGTAGGGAGTGCTGTCACAGCCAGATCTGAGGTTCATAGAAAACAAAAGGGAACAGAGCGCCACCTCAGTGTGTAAAATCGTTTATTAAGATAAATAAAACAAGGGATATAAGTACTCACAAGCAAACGTTTTCATCGCGCTATAACAACAAACAAGAGGCCACACTGTCTGTTAACCCAACATGGTATCGCCCCAACTATGTAACACGGTTGCCTCGGGTCACATCACCGGCCGCAATCAGCCCAGATTGACGCGTTTCAGGGGCGAGCCTCTTCATCAGAAACATGAATCGCCCCTGAAACGCGTCAATCTTGGCTGACGGTGATGTGACCGGAGGCAACAGTGTTACATGGGCGGGGCGATACCATGTTGGGTTAACAGTGTGGCCACTTGTTTGTTATAGTGTGATTGAAAACGTTTGCTTGTGAGTACATTATCCCTTGTTCTATTTTTCTTAATAAACTATTTTACACACGGAGGTGGCGCTCTGTTCCATTTTGTTTTCTATTTTCGTAGTGGAAGCCCCGGAGCCTTAGATGAGCAGCCCCTCAAGTCTGTGTGAAAAACTGTGATAAACTGTTAAACTTTGAGTAAGCAACAGCAAGTGGATTGTTCAGCTGGCAGCCATTAGCGCCAAGAGTTAAAGAAAACCTTTAGATCTGAGGTTCAGGTGAGTATAAATGTTTTATTTTCAAACCTAAGCAAAAATGAGCGCTTAAAGGAGAACTATGGGGGAGGGAATTACACTGATCCCCATAATTAGAGCAGACGTGTGACATTGAAACTGTCACACTTCGGCCCTATTGATCGGGAAGTGAGCAAAAACATACCACCTGCTTACTCCCCGATCAGCCATCAGGGTGGATCTCAATAGTTTTATCTGAATCCGTACCCGGCTGCGGCGCTCTCAGCCTATAGCAGACACTGGCCTGCTTTATACTGAGTTTTGGGTCACTGGAGGACATTAGTATATGTCCTCTGGTTACCCTAAAGTAACTATGGAAGAAAAAAAAAAAAGGTTGCCCCATAGTTCTCTTGTAGCCCTTGCAATGTGGGGGTAGCCCCACTGCAAGGGTTAAAAAAAATCCCTGGAGTTCTGCTTTAATGGGATGAAAAATTACTTGCCCATTTTATTTTTCGTTTTGTACACAGTTGGTGTATGGAGTACCCCCAGAAATGTCAATTCCTGCTTGATTGATTGGCTCACAGATTTTTCCATAAGCCTTTACTAATATAAGAATGTAGGCATCCCTTGCAATAGAATATTGATTTTTGGTAAGGTTCGACCTTAGCCCTGAGTCACACCCATGTGTGTGAGACACCATGTGTGGATGCACGTCTTACATGTGTTACAAGGTGTGGCACATTTGGGCAGTCCAACAGGTGACAAACGCACCAAAGAAGAGTGCACCTCTTTTTTAAAACAAAATGCATTGCCCCCAAAATGTTGGTACTTTTGTACGATGTTTTGGTGTGTTTATAAGGCACGTGCTGTGGCAGGAATGCTATCATGATTTGTGATCAGAAAGGTGAGCTTAGACTTTAAAATCCAGTCACCTTGTATGTGCAGGTTGTATGGGAGTCTGGCAGCTGCTCTAAACATTAATCTTGGCACACCTTAGGCAGACAACAGGATAAGCTGGCTTGGGAATTGGGAGGGCACAGAAGACAATGCAGGTAACCGCACCTTTCTGCCCGTATCAGCATGTTTACAAGTTCTCTCTGTATTCATCAGGGTCCTTTTTATATCTGCAATGCAAACCCCAGGCTTCCTCCTGTAGGAGCAGGGAGATGATCTGTCATTTTAGCCGGGATATAATCCCACTGCACGCTGCTCTGTGTGCAAAATGTTTTTTTTTTTTTATGTGTGACTCATATTAAAGGCATTTCTAGTTTTGTATTGCATTACAAAGGTCGCAGTTATTTGATTCCAGCTCTTTTAATCTCACCTCTTTGCTGGCACTTGTCACCTGTTGCCGTTGGAAAAGTCTATTCGGAGTTCCCATCTTGTAGTTGATGTAGTCTGTCGCCACACCTGCTGCTCTGGAAGCTGGGTAGTGTGAAGGGTTAATGGGTTCCATGTCGCTTGCAGGGCAGTGATATGACGCAATGAACTGGTAGTGTCCCCGCAGCCGAGCTGTGTGTTTCCTAGCTTGTAACGAATGAGATTGCAAAACCACTGTCAGGATTTGTGTTACTGTCTGCAATCAGGAAGTGCTGACATCACAAACGGGGAGGAGAGAGGAACTTCTCTGTCAATGGGAATTGGACTTTGAACGTTTGTAGAAGGTTTGGACATTCGTTACACTCTCTGAATTTTACAGCTTTTTAAATAATCCCGCTGTACTTAACTTACAACTGCAGTTTTCCAGAAAAATAGTGCAGATTGTATTTTTATTATTATAGAAAATGGAGAAATAATTGGGTAGTATAGAAAATTGAAATAAAGTTTGAATTTCCGGATGTGATTAGTCTTGTTAGCCCCCTATGTGATACCAATAAAGTAGAGTTAAAAAAAAACAACTAATAGTTGAAAAAAAAAATGTAAAAAAAAGAACACAAGATTTTTAATTTTTCTGTGTCCCATTCAGACCCCAACTAGGGCGGATTGCACCACAGGTCCCCTGCACAGCAGTCCACAATGGAGGTTACACCTTTTTTTTTTTTTTTTATGCATACAATTCTAAAAAAAATAAATAAGAGAGAAAAATGTAAACAGTGACTGCTCTGGCACTGTCACAGCGCACTATCACCTCTGCTGAAACTGAACATTCTAGTGGAGGGATTAGTGTGACCGGGTCCTAAGTTGATGGATGGTAAAGGCTTTTAAAACATAATCTATGGGCAATTTTGCATACTGTCGTTTTTTGTTTGTTTGTTTTTTTCAGTTTGACAGGTTTTATTTAAGGCTGGGTTCACATCTGGGCGTTTTTCAGCGCTGATCGAAGCGCTGAAAAACGCTCAAACAGTGAAGTCCCATACTTCCCTATGGGCATGGTTCCCACACAAACGCAAAAAAACTAGCAGAAAAAACGTGCCTATGCTACGCCCAGGTGTGAATCCAGCCTAAAATAAAACACACAAATAGAGTTACTTCAGAATAAAACTTTATAGTAATATTATACAATTTTTAAACTGCAAAAAACACAAACATTCTGCAGAGACAAAAATGATCAGTGTTCCAGAAACTTTTCATTGAAATAGAAAATTGTTAGGATGTCCACATGTTCCTGGCTGAGGCTGTCTCTCTCTTTGCAGGCTATCACGCATGCACAATTTTTTCAATCGCACCTTACTGGGAGGCACAGCATTCCAGCGTGGGCGGGAGGCATGTTTGTGGTGCTATTGGAATTAATGGCACCATATGCACCTCCCGCACCAGAATTTGTCAGGCTGAACCCGAGAATTACTTCCAGACCACTTTTTTTTTACGTTTTTAGTTTTTTAAATTTTTTTTCAATTTTGTTTTGTTAGGGGCTTTGGGGAGCTATCAGGGATCTCTAAACAGACACCTGAGCTTTCCCTTTTGAAATAAAAAAAGATATTCAAGAAGCAAAGTCCTCAGTCTCTTTTTCTGCAGTCCCTGTTATGAATGAACAGGAAGCCTCTATACTTGGTGTTCCTGTCCATTCCTAAACTGTGGATATAGTATGAGTTACTGTGTCCACAATCATGAATGAACAAGAAGTGATAGAAGATGTAGAAGACTTCCTGTTAACTCATAATTGAGAACACAGTATCTGAATACTATGTCCTCAATTCTTTACAAACATCATAGTGATCAGTACTGATCACTGCAGTGTCAACAATTGTCAGTGCTGGGCAATGGGGACTGCTGTGCGGCTCACCTCTTCAGTGCGGGCTGCTCCAGGCTGACTGTGTCCACTCTCACCCTCCGCACCGACTAAAACCCAAAAGAAGCTCCGGAACCCGCACTAACTCCATACATTTTCCATCTTCCTCCTCCCGCACTACACTTCAACCCAACCCGCTGCTACGGGCTGCACCACCCTCCGGCTAGACTTACAGTATGGATTGGTCAGCACGACCACTATCTCTTTACTAATTGGTTCAGTCTTGTGTCATGTCTACTGCAGATCAATTAATCAATAATGAGAATCGTTGACAACTAATTTCATTATTGATTTATTAATTGATTCAGCCCTTTTCTTTCTCGAAAAATATTGATTTGATAAACATTTGCACAAATATATGTTAAAATCTAAATGAAAGTAAATTAACATTTGTTAAAATCTATGTACAAAAGAAATTGCTCCGGACACAAAGTGGTTAAAGGAGTTGTAAAGTCCCAAGTATACTCCCCTGATATAAGATCAGCATTGTAATAGGAATACATACCAGAGTTTTTTGTTTCTTTTGATTAATGAAGTCAAAGCCTACTTGAAAAATCCTTTTATGTAGTGAGTGCTGCCTACTGTCTGCCCATCACTCATCAACTTCCTGGATTACCAGTGTGCTTTGTGTCTCTTTCCCTGCTGCTTGATGTGATGCAATCTTGATTTCTCAAGACTATTTATCCCATCATGCATTGCTTCCAGCAAGCAATGATAAGGTTACATTGTTCAGCCGCTGAGTTGTAATTTAGAACACAGGCTCTGTGGTTTGTGACATGAGGAAGTGCATATTCACAGGGCTGAGTGACATTGTGTCGGTGCATTGAGAAGGTACATTCTATGGGCGTCTTCAATAAGTAAATTAACAAAGTTCTAGATTGTTGTTGTTATTAGGAGTGGGATAGTTAAAGGAAATTCAATATAGAAATTCAGACTTATTTGTAGTTTTTGACCATAGATACTCTTTAACAATCCACAGGTGAGATTAGTGGGTTGGTTGGGGAAGAACTTCCATGTTTTTTTCTACATCTGCCTTTCTAGAATATCCTCTGTATAATTGTAGGCAGTTTTATTCTTACATTCTTGTTTGTTGCTGCAGGTTTGACTTCACCCATAAGAAGCAGTCTGGAGGATCAGGCCAGTACGGTAAAGTCATTGGCTATATTGAGCCTCTTGACCCGGAAGAAAACACTAAGCTGGAATTTGAAGACAAAACAGTTGGAACAAATGTCCCCAAACAGTTTATACCGGCTGTGGAGAAAGTGAGTCCATCACCTAAAGCTTGACCTGTTTTCACTACATTACAGTCTATATTATAATCTTACGTTTTAGGCCCCATTCGCACTGAGCGTTTTATCGCGTGGATTTCCGTGCGATATCGCTCTCCAATGCATGTCAATGGAGCTGTGCTCATCGCTGTCGCGCGCCGCTTGTGCAGGACCCTTTTTGGCGCGGATGTCGCGCGATTGTACTCAGCCCAATGCAAAATGACAATCGTGCGATTTGCAATCCGCTCAGTGTGAATGGGGCCTTAGATGTGTTCACAGCTAAACGCCAAACAAATCGCTGAATTCACAGATGAAATGCATACTGTATGTGGGAGCTCTCTGACATGCCAAAGGATTTGTAGTCCTGTCCCTCCAATTCTGAAATTTACATAGCACCACCCTGCCCGGCATGGCAGCAGACCTGATTTCTCGCTGCTTCAGTTCTGTAACACTTGCAGGACTTGTCCTTACCCCCAACCTGTGATTTGATATGGAAAGGAGAAGAAGCAGATCGATGCGCTCATGTGTCTGTCACTTTGCTCTCTCCTGGTATCTGCATGCTCCTTGCACTGCAGCAAAAGTAGTTGGCTCCTTGAGCTGCTTCTGTCTCTCCCAGTCTGAGCTCAACTGTACAGAGGACTCAAGAGGCCAATACCAGGTCAAATCCAGCTACTTAACTCCAGGAATATATCAAATTCAAGCAGTGTTAAGCTTTAACTTTGTTCACTGCAGCAAATTGCGGAAACATAGGATAACACTCCATGCATGTTTTTGTGCTGCCATCTATTTTGAATGGCACCCCACCACACCTGCTGCACTGTAACCTACTACTGTACATTGAGATGTACTAAAAATGCTGCAGGTGTAATTTTCAGTCTGTTGTGGTGCATTGTCAGTCCTTTCAAATAAACAGGCTGCCTTCATGCAATGCATGTTAAAGAGTGAGCATTAAACACACAGGCTGGCATGGTGTAAACAGGCCCCTAAAGCAGGGCTTAAAATTTCCACTCGCCTGCTGGCATTTTGCGAGTAAAAATAAGGTGAGGGCGAGTGGAAATTTTGGGTCTCCAAGTACCGGTCCGCGGCCCAACTCCGGCCCGTGAGCCGGTACTATGTGGCCCACAGCCAGCTGACATGTCGGGTACACGGTTGCAGACCGCGCACCTGACTTGCAGGAGAAGCTCCACGGTCTGCATCTCTGTCAGATGCAGACCGCAGAGCAGCTCCTGTCAGTTCTGGCTTCCTTCGGCCACATGGTTGTAAGGTCATTAAATCTCGTACGATCTGCCCATCTTGGACAGGCAGATCGTACTTGCGATCATTGCAAGCCCTCCCCGCGCAGGGGAGGGCTTCCGATGATTGCAGTGCTGAGTGGGCACACTGGCCCGTGCGGCATTCGTCTTCCGACCACGCCACCAACCCGCCAAAAATCGTACGATTTTCGGCAGGTTTTCCAGCGTGTTTGGAAGACAAAAGTCGTACGACCCTACAGTAGAAGCGGTCGCACGCTGCCCATACACACATCCTTATATGGTAGTGGTGAAAATTATCAGTGCCTTCCCAGTTTTGACTGTGGTATCTTATCTGCACCCTGTTAACATAATATAAAGCTAAAGCTATGTTATAATTGCTGTTTTTTATATTTTGGACTCTTTATTCTAAAGAAAAATGTAATTTCATAAGCTTTTAAGGGGGCGTGGTTGGGGGCGGGGTTGGGGGACGGGCCTGGGCAAGGTTTGGTGGGACAACTGGTGGAGAGTAAGGTTTTTGCCTGGCTAGTAGGTCTAGACTTGAAATTTTAAGCCTTTCCCTAAAGTATATGTATAGTTTATATTGTACCTGCAGACAATTCTTGCAATAATACAAAATGCATGTGTGATTACAAAGAGGTAATTCTGTTCTCTGTCTAAAAGTGTTAGTCTATTAGTATTATGGAAGACACACATTAAAAGGGTTCAGGTAAACCTGTCATGAGAGAAATAAGCAGCTGTCATGCCAACTTCCTTTTCCTGTTTGTGCTCTGAGGATCCGATATCTTTAATACTTCAAGTCACTGACCCAAAACAAGTGTGCAGATGTCAAAAGCCCTTATATGCATGGTTCTTCTAGATTAGGCAGTCAGAGTATTAAAGTGACCCTAAACTAAAAAGTTGCATCTTAAAAATGCATTAAAATACCTTATCTATTAACAAAATGTATCTTATTTGTGCATTGCTTAGTTGTAGATCCTCAAATCATCTCTGAATTGGTGCTGACACTGTCCTTCCTTCTAGAGGGTGGCTACTCTTGTTCCCCATGGTCCCTGTGTGTGTTGTAAAGTAGCCACTGCTCCAAGCTCACTCCTGTGATGGACTGCAATACTTATGTTTAGTTAACTAATTTGTATTGAGTCCATCATGGGAGTGAGCTTTGAGCGCTGGCTACTTCACAACACACACAGAGACAATGGGGAACAAAAGTAGCCACCCTCCAGAAGGAAGGACAGTGTCAGCACCAATTCAGAGATGATATGAGGATCTACAGCTGAGTGATGCACAAATAAGAGACATTGTTGTTCATAGTGAAGGTACTTGATTGCATTATTAAGATTTAACTCCTGAGTTTAGTGTCACTTTAAAGTAAGAGAGTAAGTATGACATGTAGGCTGCCAGCACAAAGGAGAGCTCGGCATTGGCACTCCGCATGTTTTTAATGTTTGATTTTGTTTAACGTGCAGTAGTAAATAAGTACATTGCAGTGATCCTTTAGTGCTGAAGGGATAGATGATCCATAGGCAAAGTCGTGAAGGAGATAAACATGTCTAGTAGTCAGATGTCTTTGTACCCCAGGGGAATGGGAAGATATCATACACACCGGTGAATAGATGCTTACTCTCCATGCAGACTTGTGTGCACATCCTATTACCTATCTAATCAATGAATGGGAGACTGTACATCTGACCTGTGCACATGAGCACAAAGGAAAAAATGTTTGAGGAGTTTCAGATCTTTAACTCATAGATGAAAATGAGCTTTTACAGGAGCAGGAACATCTTGAGTTTTATTTCAAAACTTTTATGACAGATGGGTGAAAAAATGGTGTGGAGACTAAGTAGCCCTTCCTCAGCCACAGTGTGTTGAAACCTTTTTATTTTGTAAGTGCAGGAAAAAAGTGTGGCTATATCCTGCAAACACAAGAAGACATTGAAATTCGACTAGAAAGCAGATATACTCACCATGATAGCAATTTTCTAGGCTGTAAAATAATCTGGTCCCAAAGCAGTTCTAGACCTTTGGATGGCGAGTTTGTGATTGTGAAATGTAAGAAGCAGTGGATAGGTATGAGAAAAGGTAAAGTACAAATCTAGGGGGAGCTTGCTGCACTGTTTTCTTCTATATGTTTAGCATACGAAGATACAATTCTCATGATTTTATCCCTGTAGTCAGTCGATGAAACTACATCAAGTAGTAAACATTTTCACATCAGTTTTTATGTCCCCCAAAGAGCCACAATCTAATATTCTTACTAGAGGTGCGCCAAAATGAATATTTCAAAACTGAAACGAAACCGAAATGAAAAAAAAAATGTCAGGCCGAAACCGAAAATGTTTTTTATTTTAACTTTTTTCACATTTTATTTGTATTTCTTTATAAACTTTTTTTTACTTATTAATTTTTATTAAATATTTTTATTTTTTACATTACTTTTAGGGGCTTCGGGGATATTTCCCTTTTTAAAATAGAAAAAGAGATTGGGGACAATCTCAATCTCTTTTTCTGGAGCCCCTGTTATAAATGAACAGATTCTCTATACTGAGTGTTCCTGTTCATTCATAACATGTGCACAGAGTATGTTTACTACAACCACAATCATGAATGAACAGGAGGTGATGTAGATGACTTCCCATTCATAATTGAGGATATAGTCAACATATTATGTCCTCAATTATTTACAATTGATGTACCGCTGTATCGGCCAGAAAATGGCACTTTCGGTATTTTGCCAAAAGTGCCATTTTTGGCCGATTATATCGGTGCATCCCCAATTCTTGCCTCTTGTATGGATATTAATTACTAGTTTATGGATCGTGGGAGTAAAGTGGAACATCCAAAGTAAAACCCACACAAACCCATGAAGAACATATAATGTGCCCGCAGGTGTTTTGGGAATTCAGCCTTGGAGCTGACTGCTAATCATGTGATGACAACTCCTTTAACATCTGACTCCCTTACTGTACTCATCTAATGCATAGATTGTCACATTTGGGGGATTCTATCAGCATGTCCTTTTATGTAATTGTTTGTTGCAGGGTTTTCGTGATGCATGCGAAAAGGGTCCATTGTCTGGACATAAGATTTCTGGCATACGATTTGTCCTGGAAGATGGTGCTAATCACATGGTGGATTCCAATGAATTCTCCTTCATGAGAGCAGCTGAAGGAGCCGTAAAACAAGGTGATTGTTTCATTAGATATTTCTTCTTATTTACCCCATGAATGTTGGGGATGTATCTCTTACACCTTGGCTGTCCCTATCTTGATTGCCATGATGCATTTCATACATCATTGGCTACCTAAGAGGTAAAACAAGCACAGGGCTGTAGAAGAAATTCTGGGCTGAAATGGTTACAAAGCCACCTGACCACTTTTGAAGCTTCAGCATGGTCTTATCTTCTTAGGTCCTAGTGTTGACTTGCACAACTCTATCCATGGACCAAGAGTCTGAATGCTGGCAGTTCTGCACATACAACACCACTGTGCTAAAGCCAATCAGGAAGCTGTTCTCCTAAGTCCCAGATATGGTTTCATTATGCTGGTTATTTTTACCATATCCAGCTTTAGTTATAGGAAGTTTCTTCTCTGCAAAGACTGTTTCTGATATGTATATGGTAGCCATATTTGCTGATTTAGTAATGTTGATACCTGATTCATGTGAAATTGACTTGCTTGTATATAAAGTATCCCTGGTAGGGCCATGGGAGTTTTGTACTGCATTGTAGTAGTTGAAGCTACTACAGTGTATAACAGCATCTTCTGAGTATAGGAACAGCCCATGTGCTGAGCGACTTCACCTCCGCTGCTAAAATACAGAGGGTTGCTCGCTCAGCACAGTGGACATTCAGAGAACGCTTAGCAATTTTCTAAAAAAAAAAAAAAAGTTCCACGCTGCACATCCACTGTCAATCATGTAGCCCAGTGATGCAGATCCTCATCAATCACAGTGAACACCCGCCAATCGCATGGCACGTCCACACCCAATTGGAGACTAGCACCGGATGACAGCAACGATTCACGCAGCTGAAAGAAAAGGGCAGGGGATAGCTCAAAGTAGGCGGGGCCTGATGGTCAACTGTGACAAACAAGTTCTCCATCGGGAACTCCTCCCTTGAGTTTGACAGCAGGCAGTGGGCGGGTACCATTGCCAGCCTGCTAGTTGCTATGAGACCCACCCACTGCTTACTGTCATTCAGCCATAGAGCAGACATGTTTGGGAAAATGGGCTCTCAGAATTCCCCATCAGGCTCAGCCCATTCTCCCTCACTAACAGTGGGCAGAGCTGGTTGTTATGGACGCTGTCCGCTACAGCAGATTGTCCGTAACAGCCTGTGACAATGACAGTGAGTGGAGCCTGATGGGGTATTCTGAGAGACCATTTCCTCATTAGGTCCACTCTACTGCTGATTGACAGCAGGTAGTGCGTTGTTGCCATAGTCAGCCTGCCATTCCCTATGGCAGGGGTCAAAATTTCAAGTCCTGAGCTACTAGCCATGCCTTAGGAGTTACTCGCCACCAGTTGCCCACCTAACCCCTACCCTGCCCCGGCCTTAACTCCACCCCTAAACACACCCTCTTAATAATCTTATAAATTACACTGTTAGATGTTTTATGCAAAATAAAGTTAAAAAATTTAAATATTAACAACTTTAACAATATTACCATAAAGGTCCCTGCCCCCACATATAAAATAATACTCTCCGCCCTGTTCCATGCACCCCCACATATAAAATATTACCCTCTCCAGGGCGATCTGGTGTGATTCGTTAGGTCTGCAGACATTACTAATCACTCCTATTTCGACCCGGAGCTCAGTGAAGAGCTGCGGCTGACAGAACAGAGAGCCCAGCAGGAGCAGCTGCTCCCACTAGTCAGGTACTGACTCAAGCCTGACTGAATTTCCACTCCCCTGCACTGCATTTCCACTCGCCAAATGCGAGCAGGCGAGTGGAAATTTTGAGCCCTGGCCTATGGAACCCCCTGCCTGCTGTCAAATTGTCAGTCAAAAATCCCCATCAGGCTCTATCACCCCTACTAAGTCTTCTATCGCTGCACCTACATGTGTGACAGGTTCAGTGGCAGAGTTGACAGCTTAGTAATGCTGAGCCTGTGATTTTTATCAGGCTCAGTCTTGCTGAGCTGCACTGAGGACGTAGTGTCCGTTGTGAACATTCTAGCTTTATTGCACCACAAATGTCGGTGTTTGCATAAAATTCATATACCTGTTTGCAACAGTTACGGGAATCTGCTGCAACCACCGACATTTATTATGCAGATGCCTGACGAAATTCTAAAGTGTCACAGACATTCTTTATGATTTCTGTGTATTACAGTATACTATTGCAGTGCCTGGTGTTCGCAGGCGAGGAGATGTGACAGACCAGGAAGCTCCTGGTCTGTCAAGACGATGATACATTGAGAGAGGGAAAGTTCAGAATAGGAGTCTGAAACTCCCAGGTCCACCCACTGCAGCATGTGGGGACGCAACTACATCCTGCTTGCTGCTGAAGAACTACAGAGGAGAAGTTACTAGACCAGTGGACAGGGAGATAGACTACATCGTGGCCACTGGTCTGACAAAACTGAAATGAGGGAGGTAGAGGGCTAAAAGCAGAGAAAGTTCCCATAGATTTCTGGAAGGCCACACCTCTATGCAGGATAGTAAGTACATATTTAGAATTTGTACGCAAGCTATTTTCAATAATGTAAGTTGTTCTTTAATGTCATTTCTACTTTAAAGTAGAAGACCTTGGTACTGCAGATATGCTGAATAACCAGGAGGTTTGCTGTATTTTTCCATCTGAAATTGTGTTTTTTTATCTTTCCTTTTTTTTTTTTTTTTAAACTTGCCCAGCTATGGAGAATGCATCTGTGGCCATCCTGGAACCAATAATGTCTGTGGAAGTTGTAACCCCGCATGAATTCCAGGGAACGGTCATTGCAGGTCTTAACCGCAGGCATGGTGTGATTCTGGGTCAAGATGGCTCAGACGACTACGGCACTATCTATGCTAATGTAAGTACACATGGATTCATCTGAGCGCTTGAAGTCACATAAGTGTGGGGAACGGTTAGAACTTCTTTTTTTGTTATTTGTCCTAAAGACCAACATTGTCATTGGGAAAGAAAATTATCTGGAGTCAAAATTTTACAGTTGGCATCCTATTGAGAGGTGAAGGGAAATCGACCAACATGGGCATATGTTTAAGTGACAGCTGTCTGGGGGGGGGGAGACATTCCCTTGCTTTTATAGCAGGGGTCTCAAACTCAATTTACTCGGGGGGCCACTGGACACATTTTTTACTCCTGCGGGGCTGCTTGCCAAATTTCATGCTTCAAAATAAAATGTAACTATCTATGCTACCAGTTTTAATGTCTGCGCATGTTACAAGTGGCAACTGTCACCCATTCAAGTTAATGATCAGGTGACCGCCACTGCATGTAAACACCTGCACACCGCATGTAATGGTATGTGATATGATTACATGCAGTTAGGAATCAATCGCTATCCTTGGATACACAATTGTGCATCCAGGGATAGTGATTGTTTTTGTAACTACATGTAATCATATAGTTACATGCGGTGTGCAAGCATTTATATGCAACGGCTGTCACCTGATCATTAACTTGAATGGGTGACAGCTGCTGCATATAAGCAAAACAAATGGCAAACACACTCATCAACTGCATATAAACCCCAGATTAGGGATTCCTGCTGCAGGAAAATGCAAGTTCCTGACACAGGAGTCCCTAATCACACCTGAAAATAGGTGTGAAGGGGGCCTAAGGATGAGTCTCCCCTGGGGTCTGTACACAGTGGTTGACTGAAATCGCTGTGTAAAGTAATAAAACCCCAACTGACTTAAGTTGGGTACACACTGTTCCGTAGGTGCCGTTGTCTGCACTCTTCCACCTCGCAGGAGCCGGTTGCAAAATTCTTGGCCAAACGAAGCTAACAGAAAATCAGCTGCTAGCTCTGTTCAGGTAATACAATGCAAACAGCAGCGGTTTGTCTATCAACACTCGTAAGTGTTGATGGAGGAAGCTGTTCTATTTTATGTTTTTTTTCTTGTTCAGCCTGCGGGTTGAATGGAGAAAAATAGAGCCATATATCCCCACTTTAGAATGTTGCTTTCCCCTCTATTAAGCTGCACACAGAAGGCTAATAATGAGACAGATTTAGCTGTATGTTCAAGAACAGTTAATGTTTAAACTGTAACCACACCTGCCTGAAATAGCTTTTAGGAATGTATTTGACCGGAGGGCAGAATGAAAGCTGACCATATACCAAAGGCTTCCATAACGCTGTCATTTCTGCGTTTAGCTTTTCTAAATGCAGAAGTTATCTGGAACGCATAAACCATTCTTGTGCTCCACAGATCACTTTCCCACCAGACTTCGATTTTTCCTAAACGCAGGGAAACTGACCATGACTGAATGTACCCATTAATATATCGTGTGTGTGTGTGTGGAGAAGCTTTCTAAATGCATATAAACGCATCTAATTTCCTGCGTAAATCAGGCCTAAGATGATTAGTTCTACGCTTCAAACTTTTCCTACCCAATGATTGGTGTGCAAAGGTGCATGTCTGTTTCTAAAATGACCTTTCATTGCAGTTGGTCTGATGGTCTGTGGGCACTTTTAGAATTGACTGAATAACATGCTAGTATATGTTTTTATTTGACATGTGTGTCTGAAGAAGATGCAGTTACTTGTCTTGTTCTGTTTTGAAGGTTCCACTGAATGATATGTTTGGATATGCAAATGAACTGCGATCATGTACAGAGGTTTGTGGATTCCTTGTTTTGTATTCTGTGTATACATTAAATTAGCATATTGTCATAATAATCATTGCATTATAAAAGTTGACCTTTAACTCAAAAAGTGAAGATTTGCCTTGTTGTAGGAAACCTTCAATAGTGTTAATTATGCCTAAGCAGCACCCTGAGAACACTACTTTTTTGTCTTGTATTCCTACTGACAAATATCAGAGTACTTCCTGGTATGTAAGTGTTACTAGGTGCTGCTTTGCCTAGAACTGCATAGCTGTATATCTGCAGTTTGAGATCTAAGGCACTGCTGCTTCTGACAGGCTCAGGAGATCTGGTGTGAGATTTGGTGTTGTCACTACGGCGCTGCTCACTGTTCTCTTTTGCTGGAGGTTCTGACATGAAAAAGCAATATGCTGCCTCTACCGAGTTTCCCACTTCCACACAGAGAGATGGGGGGGAACAAGGCAGAAATGTGGGAAAAGATCAGCTCCAGGGTGACCACAGGCAATACTGGTGACTAGCGCTTTGTCCCATGCCTGTCTTTTTAGTAATACACAATACATATAAAGGTACACAGTAATGCTGATGCAGTGTAGATGTGAGACGGTGGTGTTTCCATCTCAATGGGTGACATAAGAAGTCGCCTAAATAATAGATGTAATTCTTGCCACCTGGCTGGGGAGATCACACACATGCTCAACCATTTGCCTGCTTCAAGCCAAGTTGTATGAAAGGACTGGGGCTAAAACAGAACAGTCTAGTGTGACGTAGAGCTCCAGGGAACCTACAGAAAGCTGTTAGGTGATGTAACATATTGTGAAATGCTCAGTCTATCTACAGATAAGGTACACCTATTCTGACCATCAATGATGCCAACTAGTACAGTCCATACATTACAGGGATTGATATGATCACTTCCTGCGATGATTGAATTCATGCAATGAGCCAATTTCACTGAAAGATTAATTTTTCAATCTGTTGCACTGATTAGCAAGCTATTAATGTTCTCATATATAATTAGGGGCCATGCAGTATGCACCTTAATGTGTACCAGCAGACCTGCAGCATTACTGTAAAGCATCACAACAATCTTCCAGTTATCCAATACAAATACTAGCTTCCTGAAAGGCTATGGTCTTAGGTTTAAATACAACATCCCCTCCCTTGCACCAAAAGTAGGGCGCTACAGTCTTGCTCGGGCTCTGCATAGGGTTTCCTACTCTCCCCTCTGTACCCAAGTCTTGGTATTTGGAGGGGGGGTGGAAGGAATGTGCAGTGATGCTGCAGTTATGCTGATAATGTGTATATTATACAGTACCACTAGCGGTTGCCATCATTATTTGTAAGTACAGTATGTATTATGTGAGAGAATGTTTAAAGGGGCATCCCCAGAGCTGGGCATATGGGGAAGTCATTTACTGAAGTGCTCAGGACAGGTATGCTGGAGACATTATTGCGATAGGGGATGTTCCATACTGTGTGATGTTCTCTCTAGCTTAGAGCATGGTTTCTAACATATGTTGGATTAGTAAGCAATATGACTTGCCTTCCACACACTAATCTGTTGTTTTACAAAATGTTCCCTGTAATGTTGAAAACGTAGTCCCAATGTATGTTTGATGATGAAGTGCGTAGTTTCTAAGGCAGATCGTAATAGTCAAGCTGCAATAACTGATGGGAACTAGTGAGCAGTCATCTTTTTACTCTACTAATTGCTAAATGAAAAAAATAAATTTGGGCAACTGCCATTTGTACTTTGACTGGTTTTCTTATTGTATAAGTCCATCCAGTGTCTATATGTTTTACAGCCGAGGGATTTGTCATATCTCTTTGTAATGTAGCTGTAGCAGATCATCTATAGAGAAGGTTTTCTTGCTGCGTTGTGTCCGGCTATTCTGTTTATAGTCTCTAAGCATTTGGTAGATTTTCCTAATTCTAGTTATGGCAAATCATCTATAGAAAGCGTTTGTGTGTGCTGTGTTGTACTAATGTATTTGTTTGTTTAGGGGAAGGGTGAATATACTATGGAGTACCAGAAGTACCAGCCTTGCTTAGCCAGTGTGCAAGAAGAACTAATAAACAAGTATCTGGAGGCAACGGGCCAGCTTCCAGTGAAGAAAGGAAAGTATAAGAATTGATCTTGCTTCTGATCTTCTTTCAGAGACTTGAGCCCAGCTCTGCTTTATATTTTCTACAAAGATTTCCCACCAATCGCCACCTTTCTACAGAGTCACCTTTACATTCCAGTCATGGAACTGTGGCAGATATTAAAGGTTCATGGCTGGTTTTTGTGAAACCACTTAAACCTGTGACATAGTTGCATTCAGAATCTTCAGACTGAGTTTGGATATGGATTGGGTGACTAATCTCCATCTTTTCCTACAAGACTGCCTAAGTGATGTTGGTGAATTGAGAATAAGGGAAAATTGTAGACTGCTCTTTTCTTGGTGAACAAAACCATAATCTAACAGTATCCTGGAAATTCAACAGCTGTGGGACTGTCTAGCATTTCACCTTCCGGACCACCTTGAAATAAAGTGCGTTAACCCTGACACAACTGTGGACATTTTTGGTCTTTCCTCATTTTGTTTCTCAAATTTTTTGTTGCGTTTACCTCTGATCTCCAATATTTATAAAGCGCAAGATCATGTTTTCTAATGTACCGTATATACTGGAGTATAAGCCGTCCCGAATATAAGCCGAGGTACCTAATTTTAGCAAAAAAAACATGGGAAGTCTCTTTGAATTAGGTCTGCCTCTTGACCAGTGTCGGCCCGCTCATAACATTTACATTCTGATGGTACAGTCTCCTGTAGACATACAATTACATTTCATGTAATGAAATGAACTACCTGATTGGATAATAATCAAATAGATTGTTTAAAAAGGGTGTTGTACTGCATAACAGTTATTCTAAAGTAGGTATGCACCGATACTAGTATCGTTATTAGTGCTGATACCGAGTATTTGGCCGAGTACTTACCTCCAATTCCGGAACGACCAGAGGGGGATCTCCCTCTAACCAGCAGTGCCGAAGGAGCATGTAGTCAATTCCAATCAGGAAGCCGGGCGGTGGGTTATGACGTGCCGCCCAGCTTTCTGATTGGCTAGGAAGCCGGTTTCACTAGTTGCTAGGCAGCATGGCTCCCTGACCAATCGGGAGGCGGGTCAGGACATGCCGCCCAGCTTCCTGGTTGGTCAGGAAACCACGCTGCCTAGCACCAAGTGAAGCCAGCTTCCTAGCCAATCAGGAATCCGAGAGGCAGGTCATGACGTGCCGCCCCAGCTTCCTGATTGTTCAGGAAGTCAGGCTTCCTAGCCAATCAGGAAGCCGGACAGCACCTCATGACTCGCCGCCCGGCTTCCTGATTGGTCAGGCAGCCTTGGCAAATGAAGCCGGTGTTCTTTCGCCTGACTTCCTGATAATTGGGACACACGGCACCGGTAACCGGTATCGGTGCATACCTATTCTAAAGGCATGTGTACTCGGGTCGCACGGTCACACTGTATTGTGTTACTACTGGCTCAATGCAAATTTTAGTCACCAATGTAAGCAGAATAAGGTTTCTGGGAATGGGTATCCAAAGATGAACTGTATTGCTATTCACTGGTTACCATACTGACTAAAGAATGCAGACAGTTTTTCCTGTTTTACAATAAGTTTGTGATTGTGTTGAACTTTATGGCTCTGGGTTAGTAAGTTTGTCTTTATACACCCAAGCTACCTTTTTTATGCTTTAATTTTTTTTCCTTCTCCTGATTCCAATGGCACCTGAGCATGGACTAGTTCAATTCTTTTCTCATATATGTAGCGGTTGTATTTAGCAGCATGTCTTCTTTCTTTCCTCATATTAGCATCACATGGTTGAAATACTGGTTAGAATTTCTTTGGATAACTGATAGCAGACCAGTGACCTAAACGCCTGCAAATATGTGCGTCCTTATTTCACAACTAGGAGTCCTGCCAGAAATGTTTCATGATGGGTGTTTCTCCAAAAACTTTTGTTCATTTTCCATATTTAGCCTTCTTTCTTGTAAAAATGTTCACTTATGTTTTATGTAAATCAGACTTGTCTCCTCACAGTGGGGCTGTCATTCATGGTACTGTGCTGCAAAGGCTTCCTCATTGAATGACCATTCAATGGCACAAGTGGCGGGGAAAAAATGGGCAGACAACAAAATTTTTGACGGCAGAGCCACTCTTGATCTACTTTACATTATCTTGGACTTTAGTAACCAGGGATTGCTCAAAGCTGCAATAAAAAAAAAGTAGTTTCCCATCAATTAAAACCATGGAGATTGCAGTAGCCCTGAACATTGAAATGATGGCGGAATGCAGTGAGAAATCATGAGAAGATTCAAGAAGATCTCAGTCCACAAATTCAGCCCATCCTCAATGTGTCTTCCCTTCTCCGTGAATAGATATTTGGTGATGGATCCATTTCCATTTTACCTACAACTGTGAAGTAGAAAAAAATGTCTGGTTTCATTTTTTATTTTGCCTACATCTCTGCGGTAGAGAGAGGGCCCTTGTTTAAAAATACACTTACTGCTTTCGGGTCTGTATTTTTGTTTTTATTTAATACATGACAGGATTCCCAGAGTGTTGTGTGTTAGCTAAAAGGACAACACAACAGTAATCATTTTACTTTTAGACTGGATGGCTCTCAGCAAAGCATCAGGCAAAGCCATACAGTTAGTGAGGAGTCACTTGTATGTGTATATATGTATATATTTTTTTTTTTCGTTTAAAATGGGCTTCCAGGGCGTTTGCATGTGTTTTTGATGCATTTGCATGCGTTCCAGAGCAGGTAAAATGGGGCTTGCTGCAGTTTTTTGTTTTTGTTTTGTTTTTTACATGCTCTGGAACAGAACGCTGCGGTGTGAACTAGAGCCCAAGATACAATTGGAATGCATTGGACGCAGTTTTGATCCGCTCCTGGAACGCGCTTGGTGTGAACAAGCCCTGAATGTGTTCTCAGCAGAAGCTATTACTACTGGAAAACCTGTGATAAAGAGCAAAACGCTTCACCTGCTCAGGAGGATACCGAATAGAAATCTATACAATATTTCGGGTATACTTGCCGCAAATGGACCATTATCAATAACGTGTACCAACTTACTAAGCTGGGAGTTTCCTCGCACTTCGGTGAGGTTTACTCTAATTTCCTGTTGTTCCTCTGGGACAGGAAGTAAGGGCTTAGCCACAGCAATGCTTTTTTCTTTAAAATCAATGAAATGCATCGAAACACATGTCAAAGCATGTGGGTTGCCACTCACTTCAAAGTGCATTGCAATGCAACAAAGCATTTCTAAGTGTTTCCACTGAATTTAATAGAGAATGCATCAGGAGGAAAGATACCAATAGATCCTGGGGAAAAACAAAAAACCTCTCTGCACGCGCACGCACACCTCCACTGCTAAGCAAAGTTTCAACTGTTTGAAGTTTACTGAAGTCTGGAAACTTTGTTTGTGATACTGTAACACCAAAGCCTAATGAACGTTTAACGTGATATTCAAATCAAACATTGTTTCATCTATTTCAAATGCTGATTCAATCACTTGCTGTATATTCTGCTTCTTTTAAAAGTTTTAGTTTCCTGCAATGTGGTCTGGTCCCCTTAGCACCGGCCCTGATGTCCTATTTTAGGGTGACTCCTTTCCCTTGCAGGGTCCTATGGAGCCATCCTTCTGTGTGTCTCCTCAAACACACAGAGACAGCAAGGCAAGACACTCCCCAGGACTCCCTTCCTCCTCCTTTAAGCTAGCCGATGTAAGCCTGCTGGAGACTGTGCTGTCCCTTGTGAGTTCTAATCAGATGAAGGTAAGGAATATGATGGGGGGGTTTTTTTATTCGGTTCAGTGACACCTTAAATTTACATTTTTCACAATTCTGAATTAAATTTTTTTTTACATTTTTATTAGGATCAAGAAAGTCTCTGCTTATTTAAACCCACAGTGTTGATTGTTCAATGTGTAAAAGTGTTTTTATAGCTTTTAATTAGTGGCCGGGAAGAGAAGGTATAAGCAGGGCATTGTGTGTCAGCAGACAATTGCTCCAGCACATTTACAGTTCAATAGAGAGCGACTTATCCTTTTTGTATTAGATGGAATCTCGGGGGAATCTCCTCAGACCACTACCTATAAATAGATGTGTTCCGCTACGGTAAAAGTGTCTTATTAGCAGCTAGCTGTAATTCAATATTCTTCTTCCAGGTCTCTGTAACCAAGCAAACCAAGCAAACCAAGGTCATCTTCTGAGCAAGTACAGGATACATTTGTCTCTGATTAGAAAGCACACAGAACAAGAAAATAGCACAAATGTTTATTTCATTTTAATAAGGAAGTGGATTATATTAGAGGAGTCTTCTTGGTACAGGTTAATGGAAAATAGATTACACAGGTTATCTGTACATTTACATAAAGTGCAGACTACAAAAGCTTGCTAAACACATATCCGCCTCTGCCAATAGAATATCATTTCTAATGATCTGTGATATTTATTAGCTGATCAGTGATGTTGTTTATGATCACTGCCAGGAAATCAAAGCTAGGTTACACAGACAAGGCATGATACAGGTGACAATAGTCTCAGGGCAGGTTGATGCAATATGGATCAATTCCATGAGGAAAGTTGAGGCTGCCATTAAAACTTCCAAAATAGATATAAAATCTATATTGCATTGCTGATGTCTACTTTTGAAAATGCTAGTTGTTTGGGATGGGCAAATAGGCTGTTCATGTTGCAGGGGAATTTTCCCCTTAGCTTAGTGAATCTGCAGACTTCCATTGTCCAATCATGTGCAAGAAAGATATGTTTTGTTTGGTTTCCCCTCATTTTTCTTGCATGTGATTGGTCATTCTTTATAAAGTGACTATTCCCCACATTCACAAAGCAAAGATAAAATTCCCTTACAAAGTGACAATTCTCTTGTGAAGTAAACAACCTATTTGCTTTTAGTAAATCAACTCCAGTGACACAGATCTGCCAAATGTTCTTACTTGGGCTAGTGACTTATTGAATATTGAAGCCAGTAGGTCAACAAGAGCAGTCTGTGTATTTACCATGACAAGGTCAAGTTCACTTTATTATTGGTATTTATATAGCTCCAACAATTTACACAGAGCTTTACATGCTGCACATTCACATCAGTCCCTGCCCTCCAGGAGCTTACAATCTAAGGTCCCTATCTCACATGCATACATACAGGGCTGATTTTGTACCAGGCTCCAATTGACCTTCCAGCGTGTCTTTGGAGTGTGGGAAGAAACTGGAGTACCCGGAAGACCCAAAGACAGATAAATGAAAACTCCTGATCTATATACTTCTTCTGGGTCAGCAGCTAGCGTTTACAGAAGGAGAAGCCATCTGTCGCTGCCTGTAAAAACGTATACTTTCCCTTTTAATTTTTATTAGCAATGACACTAAAGTCTTTTAACCAATACCTGCATCGGCCGTCCGAGTTCCTGCGTTTGTGGGGACATCAGCAACCTGCTGGGGACCTGCAAATAGCTGTCCATGGCAGTGCTTGTCTGGTACTTTATCTCCTTCCCGGTGCAGGCACAGTCATGGACAGCCGCGGGGTGGAACTACTGGCGGTGCAGCTGGAGCGGCCACCCCAGAGCTAGAAGCTGGGGGTTCCCACACTAACGGGAGGACTGGGCCAGGAGATGGATGAAGGTCGGGGGGCCCAGCAGTAGAGATAGTCGGCCCAAGAGGCGGTCTCGACAAGGAGGAGGCCGGGGCCCAGCATCGCCGGGCTGGATGTGGAGGAGGCCGGGTCCCAGCATCATCGGCCCGGACGTGGAGGAGACTGGGTCCCAGCATCGCAGGTGAGGAGGAGTGTCCGCAGAGCCACTGCAGATGTCCACGTCGCCCGGGTGGGATCGACACCCTAGGCAGCCTAGTAAGAGGAATTCTGCTTTGGGGACATGTATTCGCAGAATACTATCCTGCCTTAGGGACATGTGTTCGGCTTTGGGGACATGTATTCAGTTCTGGTGACATCTGTATTTAGCCCTGGTGAGAAACTGCCCTAAAATCATCAGTCTGTGCTGTTTTAGAAAATAATGTTAAATGTCCCTTTTAAGAAAAAGTATTGGTAATTGGTATTGGCCAGTACAGGAGGGGACAGTACTTGGTCTTAAAAAAAAGTGGTAGATTCTGATGGTGTTGGGGGCTCTAATATGAAAGAGGGAGTCTCTAATATGTCAAGGGAGGGATCCCACTTTTTTGTGTTTTTGCTGGTCGTTCCTCCTTAAAATCCATACCAGGATAAGGGTCTGGATTCTGGAATGGGTTTTGAAGGGATCACACTTTTTTTACGTTTACGATTTTTACATTTTAGACTGCGGTGCCCCTAGATTTTGTCTACTTTTAAAGGGTCCCGTAACTGTGAATAAGGCTGTATTTGCGTTCCCCAGCATTTTGGTCTTCTGGGGAAAACCTTCAAAAGTATTTAGTAACATAATAGTACTGACAGGTGTACCTTAAGAGCTGAAGTACATATGAAAAATGTCATCCCTTAGTCAGATAAAATGAATTCCAGACTCCAACATTTTGCAGATGAAACAACTCAATGGGTCAATCCCATGTACAAAGCAGTAAAAATATCCCATATGATTAAGCTAAATAAGCATTTCTCTGCGGATACTTGTAGCAGCGTGTAAGTTACTATTTCTAAAACAGTATCATGTTTCTTGTCAGCTGTAACATTATTTTACCCTGATTTAGAGCTTTAAGGTGGATTTTGTTTACTTCATCATGTGCTTCTGAAAAATATATATATATACATCTTACACTAGTAGCATTTATGCAGCTAGCTGTAATCATCAGAAATTCTCTTAAAATATAATCAATATAATGCTTAGTCTATTCAGTATTTACTCTATTTAAAGTGTGATTCAACTAGCGGTCCGCTAACCTTTGGCTGTTATTATCTGTGAAAGCTGCATGACCACATTGGGTGAAATAAGACCGATATTAAAGACCTAGATCTTGGTTCTCCTAATGTTAGTAAATGGTTAGCTCAGAACGAGTGCTATGCAATGCCACAGCCCTTATATTAACCATTTACAAAGTGTACGCGCTGTTTAGTGCAAAAAAAATAAGCAGCGATGTGCAGTAACCCACAGCAACCTGCTTTCATCTTAACAGAGTTCTGATTGGTTGCGATGGGTTAGTGCGTTTAAACATTGCTCATATTACAGGAAGATTTATGTCTACGATTTGGGGCCCATTTACACTTCAGCTTTTAATGTGTTTCATTTTTTATAATATGTTGGACAGGAAACCTGCATTTCCCGCATGTGTTAATTGGAGATTTGGGTGCGTGGAGACCTGCAGCTTTATGAATTAAAATGTATATAAAACGTATACACAGTGCACCACCTAAACAGGATAAACTGCTGGGACTTGATATTCCTCAGAAAAATACCGTTCACACAACAATACAAAGGCAACTGCTGACGTGTTTCTGCCTTTAACGGCCTTAGTCATAGCTGTAACTAAGGCCATTTAAGGCAGAAACGCGTCAATCGTTGCCTATGTATTGATGCATGAAGAATAAAGTATTTTTGGAGGAATATCAAGTGTCCAGAGCCAGATTTACCATGAGGCAAAGTAGGCACGTGTCTTAGAGGGACGCTGCGCAGGTACCACCTACTCTGCCGAATTCCCGGTGTTGTCAAGATACAACACCGGCAATAGCAAGTAGGGTACATATTGCACAAAGTGCACCCTCCTGCTCCAAGACCAGCCACGCCTACACCACCAGCTTCCGCAAATGCAGGGGAAGGACCCCAGGGCCGTGTAAGGCTGCCATGTAAAACGCCTGTCTGATGCGGATAAGCATTTAAGGCAGTCTTAGGCAACACCAGGGTCCTTCTCTGGATATGTGAAAGCTGGTGGGTCCCGCAGCAGGTAAGGGCGCCGGCTCAGGCTAAACAGATTTTCATTCATGTCTACAGGCGCCCGAAATGGAAATCCGGCCCTGCATGTGTCAGCAGTCTGTCCTGTTTAAAGTGCATTTTATATGGAGCAGCATTTAGCTCTATGGAAGATGCACTGCCTGAAAATTGCAGCAAGCAGGGATTTTCTCTTAATACACAATCAGAAAACTCTACGACTGAAATCCATAGGACATAACGTTTTCACACTTGAGGTGCAATTTTAGATATGGTGAAGTATTGAAGTGTAAATGGGCCCTAAATCAGTTTTTGCCGATTTTGCAAATAACTCTTCATACTGCTATGATGATATTTATCATAGAATGGGGAAGAATTTTAGGAAATGAGAACCCAGATATATAACAATATTCTCATCAATGTCATCGTTTGTCTGTGTAAGTCAGACACACTGCCCAGGCTAGGGAATGATATAGGACTCCCAGGAAAAAAGCCAGTCCATAATGATAGGCTGCATACAAGAGGGACGTAAGAGAAAGTGAAAGGTTCCCATTATGGAATAAAATCTGCTTGTAACATAGAGCCTGGAAAAGAAATGGTGACTAGAAGTTGCCCAACTCTATCTCCATACAAATCAGTTTTCAGAAACCTTTGTTTCATAACCTTTCTTGTAATCTCAGGATGTCATTTTATTTAAAATTTCCCAGAGACGCAGATCCCTCGTCTGACTTGCTCCCGGATCCGTTCTCAGAGTAATCTTGGCAACTGTAGTGCACTTTGGGTGCTCTTCCAGGTGCCCATACCACATGCAGGTAAACACTGAATTATTTTTCATGTGGAATTCATCTCATGTATATGTTTAATCACAGATAAGTTATTTACCTCTGAAGGTCTTTCATGAAGATAGAGGTCATAATTAAAGGCAATGAAATGATCCTGCCTTAGCTGAAAAAGAGGAAAGAAATTGTGACATATTGAACATTTAGCAAAAGAAAATGAGACAAAATGTTAACAAGCTTGTGTTGGAATAAGGAACTGGCCTGATACCCATATACAGTATGGGGTGTATTTATAAAACATTTGAAGAGCCATTTGTCTGGCAAACTTTGAATGCTTGTTTGTTTTGTGCGAATGGGGCAAAAATGAATGTTATTAGCAAATTTTCTTTCCTGGTTGATTGTAATTGAAGATTAGAGCGAATTGAGAAAATACCAAATTATGGCCACTAGATGGAGCCGAGGGTCATAGGAAATCATTCCTTTTTTCTTATGATCCTCAGCACCCACTAGTGGCCATAATGTGTTATTTCCTGATATTAGATTCAACCTGAAAAGAATCTAATATATAATATGTATAGGTATATATACATAAAATATACCTAATATGTGATGCACATAACCCTAAAATGCTCAGTGCTGTATACTTACAATTTGCTTTACACTCCTAATTTGGGCCATAGCATATTCACGGTCTTCTGTGGACTTATCCACAATAACATAGCTGCTTCCCAAGATGGCTAATTGCCACACCGGCTCCAACTGTGGTGTAATGTATCCATAGCTGTCTGAGATCAAAGAAATGACAGACCATCAATACAGTGTGAAAAAACACCGAAGAAATGGAGCTTTCTACACGCACTATATAATAATGATAACATCAATTCACCTTAAACCAATAAGAAATTGTAGTAATACAATTACTAATCATATAAATGGGAAAGAAAAGAAAAAAAAGGACATAATCACCTATTTCCTAGTGATTATGTCCTTGAAGCTATATTAAAGCCTATTTTTTTTTACATTTCTCCTTTAGGCTGGGTTCACACCATTTTCCAGACCAGGTCGGGAACATAGAGCATTGCATTTTTGCCGCAATCAGAATTTAAAAAAAAAATATTATTTTTTTTAGCTTAAAATGGTCTTACAGGTGCGTTCCAGATGTTTTTGATGCGTTCCAGTGCATTCCAGAACAGACAAAATAGGACAAGCAGTATTTTTCTGGTCTAGTCTGGAACGGACTGCGCTGGTGGGAACAGAGGCCAGAAATAGCATAGGGATACATTTTGGGTCCAGAAACAGTCTGGTCTGGTCTGGAGGTAATCTGGGTGTGGTGTGAATGGACCCTTAACCTCTTGCCGTCCGCCCATAGTAGAAAAACGGACGGACGGAACTTCTGCATTGGCGGGTTGCCGTCGCCAGACGGCATTTTTTTTCTGCTCGCGCGCGCCCCCTAGCGGGCACACAGAGGCGTTTGCTTTTTTTCTCTAAAAGTTTTTAATTCCTCATTTTCTAGTGGGCCCCCCGCAGCATTCTCTTTCCCGGGAGGTACCCGTGCGGGCTCGTGCCCGCAGTGGCTGTGTGCGTCCATAGACGGGGGGGGGGAGGGGATTGCTGGGGTAGAAAAAAGGTGCTGGGACGTTTTTACCCGAATGCATTAAGGTAATAAACGCCTGGACCTTAATACAACTTTGAAGAAAATAATAATAATATTCAGTGTTACATTGGTCTTGACATAAACAATATTTGATGAAGTGAAGCAAAGAAGTTGTTGCAACTCCTGGCTCTGGCATCAGGTGATAAAATGTATTGAAGTGCAGCCATAAGTAATGGTAACAGCGGTGCCCAGGGGAAGGCTGGGAACTTTTCTACATGTGAGGCAAACACACTCAACTGGTCCTTTCATGGTTGGGCCAGATTTTATGGGCTAAAATTGCATCATATAAAGTGTGCTGCAGTAATTGGTGGCCATCGTGAAGATGACGAGTGTTGTCTTAAAAACCACGGTGCTGAACAAAACAGGTCTATGAGTTGGGAGCAGATATCTGTATAACATCCAGTAGCTGTGGGTCCTGCACATATTATATTTAAATGTGGCAGTATCTCTACTCAGGGCCACTAACTCAACATATAGTATATATTGACCCCTAGTCTAGTCCTCCTGTGAGTGTTGCTGTGTAGCTCCCTGTCACTGCATGGAAGAGGAATGAAAAACTCTGAGATCATCAACTTCAATGGAAATAGTGTACAATTTAAGCACAATTTAACAAATCCTCACCAGGTATATATTCTCCAGTAAGGGGGGAGGTTTGTGCTTTCATCGTAGTGTAGAACTTATAGTCATCATCTCTAGCTTGCTTTTGCACTTTATTGCTTGAGCAGTTAACAGAAATGGATGGCCCAGGCTTCTCGTCCAGGAAGAACACTGATGCACTGCACAGTCCAGCATCCTCCTATAATGGAAAAAAGAGATCTCAGCGGGTTAAATCATGTATATGTGTCCGCTACCATAGGTACCAGCATGTAACATGGATTTTCTATTGGTTCCTGTCTTGACACGGACTTACCCTGGTTTGGAGGACATTGGCTGAAAATTCTACATAGTATTTGTGTCCAACAAAAGGAAATGCCTGCAAGAAAAAGGGTCTCATGTTAAAGTGGCTGCTCTAGTAGGACATAAAACAAACCATTCATAGATTGTCTAGTAGTACTGCAGATATGTGTTTTACTCAACAATGTCTTCTAAAGGATACACAAAAAGTTCTCCATTCTTTCCTGTGCATCAGTGATCACTCACTGGCAGGGCCGGCCTTAGGCCTTTAGGCGCCCTGTGCAAGAAAGCTTTTACAGCACCCCTCGGTAACCACACCCCTCAGTAACCACACCCCTCAGTAACCACACCCATTTTTTCCAATAAAGTATGATACAAATGTTATTCAGAGGTATTAAACTTGTAGTCACAATATTAATATTCTTATTACATAAAACAACAGAAGGCAAACAAGTGATAAACAATAAATATCAAACTAAAATAGAGTCTATACAAATAAAGTGTCGGGTTGTCAAGCCGACCCCTTTTTTCAAGTAGGTGCATCTAGAAAAGTAAAAATAAAAAGCAGAACATACAACCTAGACTACATGTTAAATGAATGAATTACTATATGTCCGAATAAATGTATTCAGGCACATAATAATTTGTTTGAGAATGTGCGGCGGCCATGTTGGCCACCGGCACGTTCTGCGAATGCGTGCCACCATCTTGGAGGCGGGGAGCATTACGTTACTTCGTAACGTCGTCAATTTCTTTTTTCTGCATCCTCTGTTCTAAATGAATGGAGAGAACGGAGGCTTCCCATTCATTCAGACACTGATGATAGTAAAATATTTACTATCACCAGTTTCTGAATGGGGAAAAGCCTCTGTAGTGAGTGCTACTCCCCATTCAGAAATTCATGAATGAACAGGAAGTGATGTAAATATAGACTTTAAAAAACAAATTGTGGCAAAAATGAAATCACCTTGTGGTGTATACTTTACCAAAGGGTCTTTATTCCTTTTATATTGCAAAAAAATTGTAGTTATTAAATACCACCAAAATAAGGCTTGGTCTCAAAAAATGATATACAATTCATTTGGGTACAGTGTTGCACAATGTGTCAAACGTTTACAGCACTGAAAACTGAAAATTGTCCTGGTACTGGCCATTCTGGTACTCAAGTTATTAATCAACGTTTAATCATTTCTTTCATTTGTGTGCATTCCTTTGCCCTGTGTAAGCTCCAAGTGGATCTATATCAAAGCTTCCACAGAGCTAAAGACTCTCTCCTTGCCCCGATGTGACAGCACTGAGCCAAGCCTCAGCACTGAAACTTCAATGGAAGGGGAGTGAGTGACATGAGGCCCATACCTGGCACTAAGGTCTCGTTCACACCTTATTGGATATTGCATATGCGCGTCTGTCGCGCGACCGTTGCGTGTTTTTTTACCGCGATTCGCGGTAAAAAAGTTGCGCGACCGTCGCGCGTTTACGAAGGCTACTTGGCTGTATCCCAATGGAAACGCGCAACAAAACGGCCCAAAGTAGCACCTGTACCTTTTCAGGCGTGGGCCGTTTTGTAGCGCGTTATGGACGGGCGGAAATACGCCAAGGTGGGAACGAGACCATTGAATACAATGGGATTTATATTTTTGAGCGTTTTGTAGAGCGTTCGTCGAGCGTAGAACGCGCTACAAAACGTTCAGGTGTGAACGAGGGCTAATGAGTATTTCTCCTTCTTAAAGGGAAGATGGATGGATGTGGCGGAGGTGTTGCTTGGCCCCGCATGGTCAGTTGTTCCTGTGTGACCCCATAAGTCATGCATAGCTCAGGCACCTATCACTGTCATACAAAACCACGTATAAACTATAGGGCAAGTTCCTAGGAAAGCCAATTCATTTTCCGTTGGGTTTATGAGAAGGAGCATTGGAGCAAGCCAACACAATCACAGGGAGAAAATGTAAAACTCCATGCAGAGGGATTCCCTAGGGGTGGGTATTGTAGCATATATATTTCCATAGCACATCAAACCAGGTGTATGCTGCCCATTTCTGTAGTAGGGTGGTAGCGATGTGTGGATGGCACTACAGGAACTGAAGTGAAATGTATGAAACGCTAGCACACCCTAGTTCAGTGAAGTAAAACCCCTTTATTAGTGGCAGAACGGCATGCCACAAAAGAAAATGTGACATTTTGAGACCTGTGCGTTATCGCTTCACTAGGCAAGGTGAACTTAGTATGGGAATTGAACCCATAATACTGCTCATTATCAGATATCCATTATATTTATGTGTGGCTATTACATTTAAATGTTCCAATAGCCAGCGTTTTTGTGGAGGATTGGAGTGGAGGACTGTAGGTAAGAAACTCTTCTACTATAGCAGCATGTCCATTTGTGTTCTTCAACAAATAAGATTTCCATAGTTACTGTCCTTTAATGATGCTCCAAAATGTCAGAAAGGCACACAACTGGCCGTAAGCTGTAAAATATGGGAAGTGACTGGTGATGGTGACATTTTCAATGTCATAAAAAGGGGAAAAAATGGGAAAATGTACAAAGGCGGCTTAAAGATGGTGAATTGATTGCAGTATAATGAAAACCTGTGTAAGGAAAAAAAGTCTTCTGATTCAATAAATCTGGATTTATGTCCTTAATTCATCTGCTCAGCACAATATGGATTTAATTAACTGCTAAATTTAACTAAATGAACAGGTTGGCATTTCCTTTAAGCAAGCTTGTAATCAGCCATGTAAGGATTTTAAGCAGTGGTTAACAAACCAAAACAGCTACCTTGAACTTTATTTCTGGAGCCAAATGGCACAATACAGTTATAGCAACTCATGATCACTGTATCTGGTAAGAGGATACAGGACACTGGATTTCAGGCAATAACTGCAAACAGAACCCAAAGCTTCACAAGGAAATTCTACAATACCAATCGCATGTTTGGAAGTGGGCAGATGAGATCTATAGTGGGCTTTGGAAATATCAGTGTCGGTATTATGGTTCTATAAAGGTTGGTGTGGAGCTTTCACCTGGTCTCAGATTATTACCTATGGATTGCTGTTTATTTTTGTTTTACGTTGAGCTCTTATGTTTTTGTATAACATGAATCAATCATATTTTCAGCACACTCATTAGAAACTACAATTTTTCTTTAGACTGGAGGAGTTCTCTAGGAGGTCAGACAAAGAATGTTGTTGATTTCTTTCAAAAGTCTCTGCATTTGTAAGCATTGAAGCAAACAAGGCTATCGTGGTTTAAATAAATAAAAATATCCTTGTAAAGGGAAAAACAGAATGTTCTAATCTGGGAAGAATTGCATAATATGACTTCACTGCACAAAATCATTTCATGCACGCTGTTTATAGAGTCTAGGAGACTGGCTATAAAGATGAATGATGCATTCCCTGAACATGCAGCTCCAGGGCTAATATTACATAACACATTTCTTTTTTCTCTTGGCTAAACCCCAATACCTTCATGTAACAAGAAGACGCTGATAGATATGAAGTATTGTGGGTTGTTTCTGCTCTGAACTGCTCATCTATTTAAAACAATCATTCCTCAGATTCCACAATATGACCCTTCAGGATATTTCCACCTGTTTTCTTATTATATGAGTTATTCCAGACAAAATCAGGGCTCTTTATTCTGTGTTAGCAAAAGTGGGCAAGTGGATAGTTACATTTATAACACACCCAGGATAGGAATACATGAGATCAAACAATACCCATATGCACGCCTGTCATCCCACTGCATGGAGCACCATGTCAATATGGCAAACAGATGACATATAACAAAACACTGTCAGATGAAGAAGAGGGTCTGTGCGGGTTTTTTGTGTGTGACGGGCCCATGAAACACTGCGTCTCCTAGCTTTATTTCAGGAAAGGTTTTTGAAGGTGTATTCTCCGTAGCTACCTTCCTTATCCTTCCTCTACTACTTAACAAGTAATTGTCCAAGGAAAGGCACATCGTGCTTGTCCCAGATCAGTGACTTACTTAGTAGAGAAGTAAGGTTAAGTTTGGCAGTCATGGGGCCTGCATTTTCAACAATTCTTGATGTAATCCTCCGATAGCAGAATTTATAGTAAAAGTACACATGACATATAAAAAAAACACACACAAAGCAATACTGACCTACTTCCCAGTCCTACAGTGCTACAGCCCACAATGGCATTGGAACCCTTATAAAAAGCTGACTGTCGTAAGCCCCCCCCCCGCCCGACCGAAGTGAAATCCGGGGACACCCTACTGAACACGCCCATTCATAACCACAGCCATAAAACCACACCCCCATTTACAGCTACACCCACAAAATCACATCCCCATTTTTAGCATGTGCTGAAACAATTGGTCACAGACTTCTGGAAGAGGAAGCAGACAGTTATAAAGACAATGTGCCCCAGGTACTATAAGGAGTGAAATAATGCAACATGTGCAGCGCGCCGTGGTGAATCATACGTGCTGTCAAATTGCGCTAACAGTGGGAGCGGCTAAAGATGTATGATAAATAAACCCTGAGCCTACTCTACTATGGGTCAAGCATGTGAAGGGCACAAACTGCAGGATTGTGTAACGCAGAACACAGGGGTCAAGAGTGCATGGAGCAGTGGGCAGGAATCAGGAGTATATAACATACAGAGTGCATGGGGTCAGGAGTAAGCAAAACATTGAACAAAGAGGTCAGGCACAATAAATGCATGGAATGCAGGGGTCATCAGTAGGTAACACGTGGAGTGCAGGGGTCATCAGTAGGTAACACATAGAGTACACAGGTCATCAGTAGGTAACACGTGGAGTGCAGGGGGTCATCAGTAGGTAACACATGGAGTACACAGGTCATCAGTAGGTAACACGTGGAGTGCAGGGGTCATCAGTAGGGTACAATAGCAAGTAACGCAGAGTTCAGAGCTCAGTAGTAAGTAACTCAGGGGTCAGTAAGTGACACAGGGGTCAGTAATAAGTGACATAGAGTCCTACAGGCCGCGATCAAAGCATGTACAAAACTGGCTGTATATGACTGCAGTTCTGTGCTGCCGGCAATGTTTGTTTTCCGGGGACAGACTTCTCAAAACAGGGCCTGCCCC